GGAAGTCTAGACTTGTCTCAATTAGCCATCTATTACAAAACTTGAATCAAAATAGGGTCACAACCCTTACAACATAATCCAAAATGGAAATACAAGAAAAGGAACTACAATGATATTATCCGTCCTCGAATCATGAGGACTCACCACAAGCAAGGAGAAAGGAACAAATCCAAGCTTTAGCCACAATGGGGACCACCTTGAGAACCGGATCCTACACTTGGGAAAAATGTAGGAAAATATGGTTAGTACAAAAATGCACTAAGTATCATAGCCATGCATAAAAACCTTGAAAACATGCTAAACGGGACATTTTAGTTGAATGCATGCAATTTACTAAGTTAAATCATCATTTTGAAGATAGTGGAACAAAACAAGTCAGAATCATAATTAACTCATAGATCACCATATCATAGGAGAAACATATCATGAGTACCCTCAAAGCATACTTGTGCAATGCATGAATAAGATCCCATAATCTCACCCATAATAAGTAAAGCTTCTTGAGTAGTAATAGTTCATAATTCATGTTCTTGTTCATAGTTCATATGTCATAGTGGGAATAAGCCTTAATCGACATAGACCATGTGAGCTTAACATGGAATCCGGTGTTACCCACACCGAAAAGGGTTGTCCTACTTGTCTAAGGTAGGACCATGGTTTATTAGCTTTTAGGTGGATCCACTAACTAAATATCCTATGGGGGCACGTAGTTATGGGATAAGGAGATTGTTACTAGAAACCCAGACTCAACTTTGGTAGAAGGTCTCCATCTCATGAGATACATACTTTGGGAACCCGTACTCAACTAGTGTAGAAGGTCCCATTGGAAGCCGAACTCAACTTGTGTAAAAGCTTCCATCTCATATTCAATATCCACTCGGTGGCATTACTTCCCACAAATTCATATTTAGTCTTGACTTAAGTTCATATTTATGGAAGAATGCCTTGACACTCAATTCAACATAATTCATAAGATAGCTCATAGATTCAATAGGTGAGAATACCCTTTCAAACAAAGAATCATCATATTGTGAGAAAGCCTTTCACATCATGTCATATTCATGCATAAGTGTGTATATAAGAATAACCTTTCAACAATACAACAATTAGATCATAATCATGTTCACCTTACTCTCAAAGTGTTCATAAAGCATATACATAAATCCCACAATCATGCATAATTCACATACTTTTCCCTTCAAGGACCATAGATCATATTCCACCAACATATCTAGAATTACTACATTAGAAATGGATGATAAGATAATTCAAATAGCTCAATTACTCTAAGAATAATCTCATAACATTCTTCTATAATCAACAAACCCACATCACAAGATCATAATTGGAGAAATCACGGATTTCATGGGTTCTTGGGGGTTTCAATATAAAACCATCATAAATCATCAATTCAATCATAATATAAAGTAATTCAATCATTAAAATCATTTTTGGAAAGAACCCATGACTTGGAGTCAAAACCCTAGCTTTTAGGGATTTCTAACTTTGAAATTGAAAGTTTGAGGGGCTCCATGGATGTAATTTATCCATAGATGAAGTACTACCATACCTTAGATATGAATCTCAATGAAATTGGTGTGAAAGCTTCTTGAACCTTAGCCCCACCTTCTTCCTTCTTCTTGTAACACCCCGACTTATCAAACGTCTAAATTAACTCGTATCTTCGTGGAAAGACAAAGAGGGTGATTAATACATTAAGAATAATTTGGTATGTCATATTTTAAGTGTTCAAGGGTTGTATCTCAAGTTTTGAAGTAAGGTAAGTCGCAAAATAAAAGTTGGCGAAAGTTATCGTAAGTTCCTTTTTAAAGATTTCTCCAAAATTTGGGTCCAATGTCTCGAAAGTATTCTCCCAATATATAAAGATTTATGGGGCCCATGACCCATTAAATAAAAGTTCTACAACTCTAGTTTCCAATGCATCAAACGGTTTGTTCATACGACTTTAGAATGGAGAGATATTCGCATTTTCGCGAGACTGCGCAATGAAGCACGTGTGGGTCCCCTAAGTAGGTGGAAGCTTATAAGATAGCATCTTCTTCATTTTTCTTCATTCAAACTCGTAAGAAACCCATGAAAATCAGTGAATTTCTCCTCAAATCATCCTTCTGTGTTCATAATCTCTTCTTGGATCCTTATAAAAAATTGCCCTACTTCGCGAGCTCGTCGTTTTGGTATAGTTTTCATGCTGAATTGATTGGTGTAGCTCCGTGGAAGCTGTGGCAGTAGAGTTTTTTCAGTGGTTTGATTTTATTTAAGTGTTCTGGGCGTGTAAAGAAAGGTAGGAACCATCTTTTATTAGTTTATGGATACATTCTTGGATAGGAATTTATGATAGGAATCCATATCGATTGTCGTAGTAATTCTTGTCCTTAATTACTGATTGATTTTACATTTTTTTAAAGTGTTGTAGTGGTGCGGACAAAGGTATTTTCAGCATAAATCATAAAGGAAAAGGTATGTTAAGGCTATTCCCTTCGTTCGGCATATATCCTTAGAGCTTGGGATTGATATAGTAGGGTAGTTAATGTTGGTGATTTTGTAGATCTAATTATGACTGGTTGGCTGATTGAGTGGTTATAAACCCTCATTATAGGGACTCATAATCTATTAAGAACGTCCTTGAGTTAGGAATGACTTGGAAACTACATATATATATTGTTTATAGCTAAATTGCTCACCTTTAGCTTATTCAATTGCTTGTTATAGCCCTTGGGGCTATTGTGATTAGCTGTTGAGCTATGAACTGCCTATGGGGGCTTTGTTTTTGTCTAATAGGACTATGTTATTGCCTAAGAGGGCTATGTGTTACCTACAGGGCTATATTGATGCCAAAGAGTGTTATGTGTTGCCTACGGGTAATTTTTGGCGCCAAAGAGGGCTATGCGTTGCCAACAGGGTTATGTGATGTAAAAGAGGGCTACGTGCAGCCCACAGAGCTATGATGTTTCCTAAGAGGGCTATGCGCTAACTACTGGGCTATATCGTTGCCAAAAAGGGTTATGTGACTTCTTACAAAGACAAGGGGCTACCGATAGGGTTATGTAGATGGATTTGGCAGCATCTGGGCTTATGGGGGCCTAGGTAGGTGGTATGTTGTTTATGCCTACCGAGCTTATGGTGGCTTGGTTAGGTTGCTATTTGATCATTATTGTATTTTTTAGTTTCAGTAGTGGGTTAGCATGCTTATCTAATTTTGATTTCTTTACCTGATTGATTTTTGTATATTTATGATACTTTATCATTTAGTCTATAACATTTCATGCTCTGTACATTATTTTGTACTGACACCCCATTGCCTGGGGCCACTACATTCATGTATGCAGGACCCGACAGATGACACACTAGACCTCCGCAGCAACAGGATTGACTTCTATCTAGTTGACTAGACCCTTTCCTCTGGAGCTGCTAGAGTTGGTAGGTTTGTTAGCTTTTGTTGTATATATTTTTATGGGTAGGCAGGGGCCCTGTCCCGCCAATCATTACTACTCTTATAGGCTTGCAAACTAGTGTGTAGGGCGTACAACTACGTTATGGCCATGCTGGCCTAGTTTGTTGGTTTGCTGCTGGTTGTTAGCTGTTTGATATATTGTATTGATATATACATGCTTTCAGTTTCACTATAGAGATCATGGTGGCCTCGACGGCCCAAGCAGCACTTCTGTGCTAGTTGCCTTTTTCTTTATACGAACTCTTGGGAGTAGTTATTTCCTTTATATATCTGTTGACAGGGGCCTTGCTGGCCGGGGGCTTAATTTTAAGCCGAGATATACTTGTTTGTTTTCTTGATTGCGTGTGACTGCCATGCGCTAGTAGCAAATGATTCAGTAGGGTCAGCTTGGGCTTGAGTTCTGGCATTAGGTGCCAGTTGCGCCCCTTGAGTTTGGGGCATGACAAACTTGGTATCAGAGCAACGTCGTATCCTAGGGAGAATGCAGACTGTGTCTAGTAGAGTCTTGATTATAAATGTGTTGTGCACCAAATTCGATAAGCAAGAAGCTACCAGGCATGTTAGAATTACTATCCATATTTTTCTCACCTCGTGCTATAGAGCGGTGCCTTAAGTCTATTCCGGTAGTTAATGAGTTTCTAGATGTATTTCCAGACGAGCTCCTTGGTATCCCTCCTAAACGAGAAAGTGATTTTTCTATCGATATGCTACCAGGTACACAACCCATATCTATCCCTCCTTATAGAATGGCTCCTACTGAGCTAAAGGAGTTGAAGGATCAGCTGAAAGACTTGTTGGATAAAGGCTTTATCAGACCTAGTGCTTCAACATGGGGTGCGTTAGTGTTATTTGTGAGGAATAAAGATGGCTCACTAAGAATGTGTATCGATTATCGACAGCTGAATAAGGTGACTATAAAGAATAAGTATCCCTTTCCGAGGATCGATGACTTGTTTGATTAGTTATAAGGTGCTGAGTGCTTCTCAAAGAATGATTTAAAATCAGGGAACCACCAGATACGAGTACGGGAGAAAGACATTCTAGAGATAGCTTTTAGAACATGATATGGACACTTTGAGTTCTTTGGTAATGTCTTTTGGATTAACTAATGCACCAACAGTGTTCATGGACCTGATGAATAGTATATTCAGGTTTGTATTCTAGACTTGTTTGTGATTGTATTTATTGATGTATATTTTTGGTGTATTCACGTTCAAAAGCTGAGCATGCAAATCATCTCCGAGAAGTCCTTCAGGTTCTTCGAGATCGAGAACTTTATGCAAAGTTTTCTAAGTGTGAGTTCTGGTTGAACTCCGTAGCTTTCTTATGCCATATTGTATCAAATGCAGGCATTACGGTTAACACACAAAAGATTGAGGTTTGTAGTTTCTTAGGGTTAGCTGGGTACTATAGAAGGTTTGTAGAGGGGTTTTCTTCACTTTCAACACCATTAACGAAGCTGACTCAAAAAGTAGCTATTTCCCATTGGACTGAGGCTTGCGAGCATAGTTTCCAGGAGCTAAAGGAAATGTTGACATCAGCACCAGTTCTAGCAATGACAGAGGGTTCAGAAGGCTATGCGGTGTACTGTGATACTTCTGGTGTTGGGTTGGGATGTGTTCTAATGCAACGTGGTAAGGTTATCACATATGCTTCAAGGCAGTTGAGGAAGCTTGAGAAGAACTATCTGACCCACGAATTAGAGTTGGCTGGAGTTGTGCATGCATTAAAGATCTAAAGACACTATTTGTATAGCGTTCATGTTGACATCTTCACAGATCATAAAAGCCTTCAATATATCTTTAGACAAATGGAGATAAATCTGCGACAACGTTGATGGCTTGAGTTACTCAAAGACTACGACGTTAATATTTTATATAATCTAGGAAAGGAGAATGTGGTAGTCGATGCCCTCAGTCTAAGATCTATGGGTATTTTATCCTATTTAAGTGTTGAGAAGTGTGAGCTAGCATGAGAGCTTCATCAGTTAGCTAGCTTGGGAATCAGATTGTTAGAGGCAGACAATAGTGGGGTCATAATTTAGGACAGAACTGCATCATCTCTAGTTGTGGAGGTAAAAGCACGGCAACATGAGGACCCTAGCTTAGATCAGCTCTGAGCCAAGGCTCAGGATCAGAAGTCTGTAGAATTTGATATAGCAGGAGATGGAGCCCTCAGATATAGTGGTCGATTGTGTGTTCCGGATGTTGCAGGGCATTGACATCATATTATGGAAGAGATACATCATTCCCGTTATTCTATTCACCATGGTTCGATGAAGATGTACCATGATATTAAGGAGATCTATTGATGGCCCGGGATGAAGAACGACATTGTTGAGTTTGTGGCACATTGTCCAAACTGACAACAGGTGAAGGTTGAGCACCAAAAACCCGTTGGGCTAGTCCAGGAGATAGCCATTCCTTTGTGGAAGTGGGAAGCAATTAATATGGATTTTGTTACTGGGTTACCTCGTTCGCGTCGTAAGTTTGAATCTATTTGGGTAATTGTTGACAGACTAACAAAACCAGCCCATTTCTACCAGTCAAGACTACTTTCATAGCTGAAGATTATACAGGGCTTTACATCTGAGAGATTTTTAGGTTGCATGGCGTCCCAATATCTATTATCTTAGATCAAGGAGCACAATTTACTGCTAACTTCTTGAAGTCTTTCCAGAAAGGATTAGGGACACAGGTTAATCTCAGTACCGCCTTGCACCCTCAGACAGATGGCCAAGATGAACGCACTATTTTAACACTTGAGGACATGCTACGAGCATGCATGTTGGACTTTAATGGAAGTTAGGATGACCACTTTACCTCTTATTGAGTTCGCATAGAATAATAGTTATCATTCTAGCATCGGGATGCCACATTATGAGGCTTTGTATGGGCGGAAATATAGATCCCCCATTGGATGGTTCGAGGTAGGTGAGTCAGGGTTGGTTGGACCTGACCTAGTACATCAAACAGTGAAGCAGGTTAAGCTCATTTGGGAGAGGTTGCTAATAGCTCAAAGTCGACATAAGTAATACTCAGATGTGCGACGAAGGGACTTTGAGTTTTGTGTCGATGACTGGGTATTCTTAAAAGTCTCGTCTATAAAAGGTGTTATGAGATTTGGCAAGAATGGCAAGCTTAGACCAAGATTCATTGGGCCATACCAGATCCTTCGGACGCTAGGACAAGTGGCTTATGAGTTAAAATTGCCTTCGGGGCTAGAATCTGTTCATCCAGTATTCCATGTATCGATGCTACGGAAGTGCGTAGGAGACCCTTATCGGGTTGTCCAGTTGAGAAAGTTCAGATCACAAAGGATTTGTCCTATGAGGTAACTCCAGTTGCCATATTAGATCGACAGGTCCTTAAATTTAGGACCAAGGAGGTGGCTTCGATTAATGTATTGTGGAGAAACAAGATTAGAGAATAGGTGACCTGGGAAGCTGAGGATGGGATGAGTCCAAATATCCTCACTTGTTTTGTACCCCAGGGTGATAACATATCAGTTTATATTAGTGAAGTAAGGTAAGATACCAACCTAATTTTTTATATTATTGCTTCTTATTATGGTTGTTGTCGTTATATTTTTGCTAGCACTGTTAATGCGGAGTTGAAGTGCTTAGCTATTTATGCCATCCTGTGAGACGCCTAGATTAGAATTTCTGTGTTTCAGGTTCTGTATAGTCACATTCACAAAGGATACTTTTCCTATACTTTGGCAACTCCTACGGACATAATCGTGTGACTAAGACTTTTCATTCGAGGACGAATGTTTCTAAGGGGGGAAGGATGTAACACCCCGACTTATTAAAACGTCTAATTAACTTGTACCTTCGTTGAAAGAAAAAGAGGGTGATTAATACATTAAGAATGATGTGGTATGTCATATTTTAAGTGTTCAAGGGTTGTATCTCAAGTTTTGAAGTAAGGTAAGTCGCAAAATAAAAGTTGACGAAAGTTATCGTAAGTTCCCTTTTAAAGATTTCTCTGAAATTTAGGTCAAATGTCTTGGAAGTTTTCTCCCAATAGATAAATATTTATGGGGCCCACGACCCATTAAATTAATGTTCTATGAGTCTAGTTTCCAACGCATCAAACGGTTTGTTCATACAACTTTAGAATAGAGAGATATTCGCGTTTTCGCGTGACTGCGTAAGCAAGCAGGTGAGGTGGATCCCCTAAGTTGGTGGAAGCTTATAAGATAGCATCATCTTCATTTTTCTTCATTCAAACTCGTACGAAACCCATGAAAATCAGTGAAATTCTCCTCAAATCATCCTTGTATGTTCAAAATCTCTTCTTGGCTCCTTATAAAAAATTTCCCTACTTCGTGAGCTCGTTCTTTCGGTATAGTTTTCATGGTGAATTGATCGGTGTAGCTCCGTGGAGGCTGTGGCAGCAGAGTTTTTTCAGTGGTTTGATTTTATTCAAGTGTTTTGGGCGTGTAAAAAAAGGGAGGAACCATCTTTTATTAGTTTATGGATACCTTAGGTCTTGGATAGTAATTTACGATAGGAATCCGTATCGATTGTCATAGTAATTCTTGTTTTTAATTACTGATTGATTTTACCATTTTTTTAGTGTTGTAGTGGTGTGGACAGAGGTATTTTTAGCATAAATTATACAGAAAAGGTATTTTAAGACTATTCCGTTCGTTCGGCATATTTCCTTAGAGCTTGGGAGTGATATAGTAGGGTAGTTAATGTTAGTGATCTTGTAGATCTAATTGTGAATGGTTGTTTGATTGAGTGGTTATAAACCCTCATTATAGGGACTCATAATCTATTAAGAACGTCCCTGAGTTAGGAACGACTTGGAAATTATATATATATATATATATTGCTTCTAGCTAAATTGCTCACCTTTAGCTTATTCAATTGTTTGTTGTCGCCCTTGGGGCTATTGTGATTATATGTTGAGCTATGAACTGCCTATGGGGGATATGATGTTGTCTAATATGACTATGTTATTGCCTAAGAGGGCTATGTGTTGCCCAAAGGGGTATATTGATGCCAAAGAGTGTTATGTGTTACCTACGGGGCCATTTTGACGACAAAGAGGGCTATATGTTGCCTACAGGGCTATGTGATGCAAAAGATGGCGACGTACAACCCACAGAGCTATGATGTTTCCTAAGAGGGCTATGCGCTGCCTACGGGGCTATATCTTTGACAAAAAGTGCTATGTGACTTGTTACAAAGACAAGGGGCAACCGATAGGGTTATGTAGATTGATTTGGCACCTTCTGGGCTTATGGGGTCTAGGTAGGTGGTATGTTTTTTGTATCTACCGAGCTTATGGTGGCTTGGGTAGGTTGCTGTTTGATCATTAATGTATTTTTCAGATTCAGTAGTGGGTTAGCATGCTTATATAAATTTGATTTCCTTACATGATTGCTTTTGGTATATTATGATACTTAGTCATTTAGTCTATAGCCTTTCATACTCTGTACATTATTTTGTACTGACGCCCCATTACCTGGGGCCGCTGCATTCATGTATGCAAGACCCGACAGATGACCCAGTAGACTTACTCAGCAGCAAGATTGACTTCTATCTGGTTGGCTAGCCCCTTTCCTTCGGAGCTGCTAGAGTTAGGATGTTTGTTAGCTTTTGTTGTATATATTTTTATGGGTAGGTTGGGGCCCTGTCCCGCCAATCATTACTACTCTTAGAGACTTGCAGACTAGTGTGTGGGGTGTACAACTACGTTATGGCCATGCTGGCCTAGTTTGTTGGTTTGCTGCTTCTTGTTAGTTGTTTGGTGTATTGTATTGATATATACCTGCTTTCAGTTTCACTATAGAGAGCATGGTGGCCTCAACGGCCCAATCAGGACTTCTGTGCTAGTTGGTTATTTCTTTATACGAACTCTTGGGAGTAGTTGTTTCCTTTATAGATCTGTTGACAAGGGCCTTGCCGGTCGAGGGCTTAATTTTAAGTCGAGATATACTTGTTTGTTTTCTTTATTGCGAGTGGCTGCCATGCGCTAGTAGCAAATGGTTCAGTAGGGTCAGCTTGGGCTTGAGTTCTGGCATTAGGAGCCAGTTGCTCCTCTTGAGTTTGGGGCGTGACAAACTTGGTATTAGAGCAACGTCGTATCCTAGGGAGTCTGCAGGCCGTGTCTAGTAGAGTCTTGATTATAAATGTGTTATGTACAAAATTCGATAAGCAAGAAGCTACCGGGCATGTTAGAATTACTATACTTCTTTTTCTCACCTCGTGCTATAGATCGGTGCGTTAAGTGTTGAGGTTTTTGGCTTATAATTGATATTTGTACGCAGATAGAGATGGCTGGTGTCCACAACTAACCTGGGGCTAAACACAGCTGCATGCGAGGGCACTGGCAATGTACCACAGGTGGAGGTAGCCCATTGTGAGACCCAATGGGATACATCTTCTTAACCCCCTATTACTTCTCCACCGCTTTAGGAGCTTCCGTGGGCTACAGGACACCCGACTCCACCAACAGTACCACATCTAGTTCCTGTTATTCCATCTGACTAGGATATCAAGAGTGCAGTATGTATCTTAGCATAGTTAGTAGCTGCAGAGTACCAACCAATTGCGCCAGATTTTGTCGGACCTTCTGAAAGGCCCGGAAGTTCGAGAGTTCGTGAATTTCTTGACTTGAATCCTCCATAGTATACAGGGACATATCACAGAGAGGACCCTCATCACTTTGTTGATCAGCTTCATAGGATCTTCAGAGTCATGCGTGCCTCAGTGACTGAGTCAGTTGAGTTAGCATCATTTTGATTGTGTGACGTTGCAGTATTTTAGTACGAAAGCTGGGAAAGATCTAGGGCAAAAGATGCATCTCTACCCACTTGGGATAGCTTTGCAGAAGCTTTCATAGATTACTATTTGCCTCGAGAGATTAGGGATGGCCGGGTGGACCAGTTTCTGAACCTCCGACAGGGCAGCATGAGTATTCGAGAGTACGGGCTGAGATTTGATTCATTGGCTAGATATGCACCAACATTTTGTGATACGATGCATGACAGGGTGCGTAGATTTGTGGGAGGGATTGACTCAGACTATACCGACGCTTGTTCTACCACTGCAATAAATGATAATATGAATATCTCACGAATTCAGAAGTTTGCACAAGGCATAAAGGATCGTCAACATCTACAGTTTATGACTGAGAGGGTCGATACAGAGATAGAAGAGGGATAGGCTCGCTTGTTCACATAGAGATTTTCAGGGTGGTCCCAGACCTCGATATTCTAGTAGGCCACCTAGACCTCCACCATATCAGTTCTAGGGTAGTAGTTTTGATCGTCAGGGACAGTCAGGCCCAGGTGAGGGTCCACGAGCATCAGACTCTCAGCAGCAGAGAGGCTTAGGCCAGGCTAGGACAACACCACCGCATTGCGCTACTTATGGTAGGATGCATTTTGGGAGGTGCAGGCAGGGTTCCACAAGTTGTTATTATTGTTGACAGCAGGGGAATGGGTGGAGGAACTGCTCGACCATAGGTCAGGCGGGTCAGTATAGGTTCCTCCTCATCAGCATAGTCTACAGGGCGTGGACACCAGACTTCAACAAGTAGAGGCAGAGGCAGAGACAGAGGTAGAGAGGGAGCACCTAGTTCTAGTAGTGGCCAGAACCGTACATATTCTTCACTAGCCGGCCGACAGGTCTCAGAGTCATCACCAGATATTGTGACAAGTGCCTTAACCGTTTTCTCTCATTGTGTTTATGCTTTGATAGATCCTGGATCTACTCTATCTTATGTTACCCCATTTATTGCGGGAAAGGTATGTATAGTAGCAGAGTCATTACATCGACCCTTTACTGTATCTACACCAGTTTTTGAGTCTATTATTGACAAGAGAGTCTATCGAGGTTGCACGGTAGAAATTATTGATCCTCAGACCGCTGTAAACCTAGTAGAGTTAGAGATGGTTGATTTCTACGTCATTATGGGTATGTACTGGTTAGCGTCTTGTTATACTAATGTTGAGTGTCAGACAAAGATTGTTAGATTTCACTTTCTAGGAGAGGTAGTTCTGGAATGAAAAGGTGATACAACAACGCCGGAAGGTAGGTTTATTTCCTGTCTTAAGGCGAGGAGGATGATCACTAAGAGTTGTATTTATCATCTTGTTCGCGTTCATGATATAGATACAGAACCACCAACTCTTCAGTCTATTCTTGTAGTTAATGAGTTTCTAGATGTATTTCTAGACGAGCTCTGTGGTATCCCTCCTAAACGAGAAATTGACTTTTCTATCGATATGCTACCAGGTACACAACCCATATATATCCCTCCTTATAGAATGGCTCCTACTGAGCTAAAGGAATTGAAAGATCAGCTGAAAGACATGCTGGATAAAGGCTTTATCAGACCTAGTCTTCACCATGGGATGCGCCAGTGTTATTTGTGAGGAATAAAGATGGCTCACTAAGAATGTGTATCGATTATCGACAGCTGAATAAGGCGACTATAAAGAATAAGTATCCCCTTCCGAGGATCGATGACTTGTTTGATCAGTTACAAGGTGTTGAGTGCTTCTCAAAGATTGATTTAAGATTAGGGTACCATCAGATACGAGTTCGGGAGAAAGACGTTCCAAAGATAGCGTTTAGAACTAGATATGTACACTTTGAGTTCTTGGTAATGTCTTTTGGATTAACTAATGCCCCCGCAGTGTTCATGGACATGATGAATAGTATATTCAGGTTGTATCTAGACTTGTTTGTGATTATATTTATTGATGATATTTTGGTGTATTCATGTTCAAAAGCTGAGCATTCAAATCATCTCCGTGCAGTCCTTCAGGTTCTTCGAGATCGAGAACATTATGCAAACTTTTCTAAGTGTGATTTTTGGTTGAACTCTGTAGCTTTGTTAGGCCATATTGTATCAGATGCAGGCATTGCGATTGATACACAAAAGATTGAGGCAATTAAAACTTGGCCCAAACCTATGATTCCGACCGAGGTTCGTAGTTTCTTAGGGTTAGCTGGGTACTATAGAAGGTTTGTAGAGGTTTTTTCTTAACCTTCAATACAATTAAAGAAGCTGACTCAAAAAGTAGCTAAGTTCCAGTGGACTGAGGCTTGCGAGCATAGTTTCCAGGAGCTAAAGGACATGTTGATATCATCACCTGTTCTAGCAATGCCAGAGGGTTCACAAGGTTATGCGGTGTAGTGTGATGCTTCTGGTGTTGGGTTGGGATGTGTTCTAATGCGACATGGTAAGGTTATCACATATGCTTCAAGGAAGTTGAGGAAGCATGAGAAGAACTTTCCGACCCACGAATTAGAGTTGGCTGGAGTTGTGCATGCATTAAAGATCTAGAGACACTATTTGTATGGCATTCATGTTGACATTTTCACAGATCATAAAATCCTTCAATATATCTTTAGATAAAATGAGTTAAATCTGCGACAACATTGATGGCTTAAGTTACTCAATGACTACGACGTTGATATTTTATATCATCTAGGAAAGGCGAATGTGGAAGCCGATGCCCTCAGTCGAAGATCTATGGGTATTTTATCCTATTTAAGTGTTGAGAACTGTGAGCTAGCACGAGAGTTTCATCAGTTAGCTAGCTTGGGAGTCAGATTGTTAGAGGCAGATGATAGTGGGGCCATAATTCAGGACCCAACTATATCATCTCTAGTTGTGGAGGTAAAAGCATGGCAACATGAGGATCCTAGCTTAGAGCAACTCAGAGACAAGGCTCAGGTTCAGCAGTTTGTAGCATTTGATATAGTAGGAGATGGAGTCCTCAAATATAGTTGTCGATTGTGTATTCCAGATGTTGCAGGGCATTGACATCATATTATGGAAGAGGCACATCATTCTCGTTATTCTATTCACCCTGGATCGATGAAGATGTACCATGATATTAAGGATATCTATTGGTGGCACAGGATGAATAAGGATGTTGCTGAGTTTGTGACACATTGTCATAATTGCCAACAGGTGAAGGTTGAGCACCAAAAACCCGCTGGGCTAGTCCAGGAGATAGCCATTCCTTTGTGGAAGTGGGAAGCAATTAATATGGATTTTGTTACTGGGATACCTCGTTCGCGTCGTAAGTATGACTCTATTTGGGGAATTGTTGACAGACTAACAAAATTAGCCCATTTCTACCAGTCAAGACTACTTTCACAGCTGAAGATTATACAGGGCTTTACATTCGAGAGATTTTTAGGTTGCATGGCATTCCAATATCTATTATCTTAGATCAAGGAGCACAATTTACTGCTAACTTCTGGAAGTCTTTCCAGAAAAGATTAGGGACACAAGTTAATCTCAGTACCGCCTTGCACCCTCAGACAGATGGCCAAGCTGAACACATTATTTTAACACTTGAGGACATGCTACGAGCATGCATTTTGGACTTTAATGGAAGTTAGGATGACCACTTACCTCTTATTGAGTTCGCATACAATAATAGTTATCATTCTAGCATCAGGATGACACCTTATGAGGTTTTGTATGGGCGGAAATATAGATCCCCCATTGGATGGTTCGAGGTAGGTGAGTCAGGGTTGGTTGGACCTGACCTAGTACATCAATGGAGCAGGTTAAGCTCATTTGGGAGAGGTTGATAATACCTCAAAGTCGACAGAAGTAATACTCAGATGTGCGACGAAGGGACTTAGAGTTTTGTGTCGATGACTGGGTATTCTTAAAAGTCTCGCCTATGAAAGGTGTTATGAGATTTGGCAAGAAAGGCAAGCTTAGACCAAGATTCATTGGGCCATACCAGATCCTTCGGACGCTAGGACAAGTGGATTATGAGTTAAAATTGCCTTCGGGGCTAGAATCTGTTCATCCAGTATTCCATGTATCAATGCTACGAAAGTGCTTAAGAGACCCTTATCGAGTTGTCCCAGTTGAGGAAGTTCAGATCACAAAGGATTTGTTCTATGAGGTAACTCCAGTTGCCATATTAGATCGACAGGTCCTTAAATTGAGGACCAAGGAGGTGGCTTCGGTTAATGTATTGTTTGAATTGAAGGGGTTTCCACTATTCTGCAACACCATGGGTTAAGGGGGACTTTTCCTGCACTTTTTGACTTCTCCTTTTCCTTTTCACCACACCCCCAACTTAGGCTTTTGGCCTAAGTTGGTTATTCACTAAACCACAAATTAAGAGGATTATAGGTAGTGGGTCAAGTGAGGTCTAGGGTTCATCAAGGATATTCCAAAGAGAGGTAAGGCTCAAAGTGTGTTCAAAAAGAGTTTCACACACTCACGGGTAGGCCACAAAAGAGGTATATGTCAAATTTGGCTCACACTCTTTAATGTTGCCTAAGATTATATCAAGACGACACCTTTCTAAATCAATCAAACACATGGTTCAAAGCAAGCTAATCACACAAGGTATCGACACTTAAGTTAAGATAGACTACACACTTTCGCTAGTGTCCAACGGTCATAACAAGAGAATCAATTCGATAAATGGCTAGTCACAACGAGATGCAAAGAGTTCACATATTGTCTATGCAACTTCATTTGGCCTCATCGTAGCCATACATTCATGTTCGTTCAATTGAGAGCACTATTCAAGTCATCGGTATTAATCAAAACCGAGCCCTAAATTTATTTGCAAAAGAACAACCACATTCAACTCATGAGGGGTGGCAAAAATGTGTAAAAAATTCAAAAATTTTCGGAAGGGTCAAGCTCATTTCGCAAGTAAACCTAAAAGAGAACCATAAGCTCAAACAATAACAAAAGCAGTTATTAATACAATTATAAACAGGCAACCTAAATGTATATAAAACACAAATCACAAATAGCACACAAAAGGTGAGCCTCAACCCACCACAAATAAAAAACAGTTTGTCCTCAAATGTAAGTAATACAGAATCCTTAAGGCAAAGTAAAGAAAGAAAAGAGGGAGGTAAAGAGGTAATCCTGGCTAATATGTCGCTCCATCTGTCTGGGCATCAGTATCTGGAATGACCACTAAAAGAACCAGCTCCACTGGATCCCGTAGCAGGAGACTGTGCTAAAGAAACTTCCATAACAAAATTTATCATGATTTCTTCAGTCTCGGCTATGTCGTCCGCTGTAACTTTCTCAAACATTTCTTCGTCAGTTTCTGCCTTTGGTTCAGGATAGGCTATATGCTCCCTTCCATCTCCACGCCCTGTGGTGAACAGAGGTACTTCGGGCATATCTGGAGTCTCTACTGTTCCAAAGACCATGGATACCTCGGTGGACTTCATGTGGTCTATATCATTTCGTAGTTTATCAATGGCAGCTTTTAAATTTGTCACCTCCTCTATGGCCCCTTGGTTATGTTCGCACACCGCTATTCTTGCCGCTAAGGCATCAATGGTAGTGCTCAAAGGTGTCACAGCATCAGTCAAGGCAATCCGAATCATGTTTTGAACAGAGGACTCTAGGTTCGCATCTCCACGATCGGCAGAAAGAGGCAATTGTCCCATCCGGAGTAGAGACGCCCGGGTGAGTGGAAGTCGAGCACCACCAGCAACAATGGTGGGTTTTGGAGATCGTGCAACAATAGAAAAATCTGGAGGATTAGCGTGAGTAACAGTGGCAATGGATATACCTGATGGTCCAATGTCCGGACTAGACAAATGTGTCTCTTCAGGTGATGATTCTGTGTTTACTATCTTCATTGATGCTGCATTTTTCTTTTCTGCCTTATCCCTAAGATACTCCGCTTTGATCCTTCGGATATCAGTAGAGGCTGTGGGCATCACTTCTATGTCCTTCATGATATCCTGAGGTACCTGGGCTCGTTCGCACAATTCTGTGATCAAGACTGGAAATGGAAGTGAGGTTCGGCTCTGTCTTGCACGCATGAGTATCTCTGAAGCAATGATTGTACCCAAGTTTATTAGAGTCTCCTCTATGATGCAACCGAGGAAGGTTGCCTTGGTAAGGCAAATGATCGACTCATTTTGGGATGTCATAATTGTGCTGCTGATAAAACCAAACCAGAACCTTGCGGCTATGTTTAGTTCTTTCTTTTCAATCGGAACTCCTTCCACCACCCACTTTTGAGTTTCATTTGCACTTAGTGGGGTTAACCACTATTTCATCTATTCTAGCTTCTTTGTTCTAATCAGATACTGGTAGTGATCCCCAATATTTGTGGGCATGCCCAAGACTGCGTTGATTTCCTCATTGTCACACTTCACTCCCCTGCCTCTGACAACCACATAGCTAACTTCTCTGAAGGATGCTACTAGTTTCTTTTGTTGGGGTATTATTGCACTATATGCACTGTAGAACTCTATTACCCAATTTGAAATATAAGGGCCACGGGGTTTAGTGAAGATTTGGAACTTGTGGTATCTCAGACACTCCATTATCTCTGGGTATTTATCTATAACCCCATCTATGTATAGACGCTTTTCTTCTAGAATGGTCCTCAACCACTCAGCCTTTTCTCGATTTGATTTCGACTGAGGGCCTTGTATGAGAGGTGTTAATACCAGTGTCAGCGCTGGAAATCGAGGTGCAGTAATTCTAGGCTGGGGATTCCTGGCCCTGGGTGAATCATTCCGCCTCTTAACTCGCCGCTAAGCCCTGTCTAATAATTCAAAGGGCTTGTGTTTGCCTTTCCCTTTTCCGCAAGTCTTGGAAAGTTTAGCAACTTTGCTTCTGAATGTATCTGCATCCTTTCTCATTGTAATCCCTTTTGTTCTGTCTTGAGGTGACTTGTTTCTTCCTGAAACTTTAGATTTAGCCATTTCTGCAAAGAATTCGAAAGAAGTCAAAAAAACTAGATCGAGTTTTAGAGAGATACAATTTCAGCAGGATTTGTCAAATATCTTGGCGAATCGCCAAAGGTTTCGGCGAGTTCTCCTTCGCGCTTAGAATAATCTAAATTCATCAGAAAGGATCATCACATGACATTGTATAAAATTACTTGAAATGAGAGCATCCATACCAAAATTAAATGCAGGGTTTGGAGAGCCAACCTTTTAGGCAGATTAGATCAAGACTGTGATGGTAAGCAGTAGGTTAGTACAGATCCAAGCACTACTCAAACAGCTAAAATACTTACATTTTACAAAAATTCTGGAAATACTAAGTAGGTGCGATTTTCATGAGAATCGAGAGTGAGGGGTATGAGAAAAGAAACAAATAGTTGAAAGTTAAGGCCCGTGGTTTTATAAATCCCATCCAAATCTAACCCATTCGGCGACATTATTTGGATATGCTTAGCTACTCAGTGATCCGCCGAGTGTTCATCTACCTCGCCGAGTTTTACAAGACCCTTAACCAAAGTGAGGATCCAAAGGGCGATCTTTGTAGCGGTCGCCGATCTAATCGGTGTTTCGCCAATTGGATTTGAGTAATTCATCCTGTACTTTTCACAAACTTTTCATGCTCCATTCCTACAAAATTTGAACACCTTTATTTCAAAAATAACAAACTTAAAGTAGTTAAGGGCTTTGGTTGCCTCCCAAACAATGCCTTAGTTAACGTCGTGGCCCGACGCAGGTGAGCACCTAACTTTCACTTTTGGATTTGGCCAAAATATCATTTGGCCACCCATTGTCTTGTGCCTGACGGAGATCAGGCATTATGTGACCCAAAAGAATTTCAATTAGTTGGATAGATCTAGAGTGAGAATTTCTCATCTGATTTAACGCTTCTACATTTTCTCTAATCTTCTCTAGCACTCTATCTTGCTCATTTAGCTTTTGAAGGATGGTCAATAACATATCTTCGATATGTTTATTTTCAATGTCCATTGACCTGCCCTGCTCAGTAGGTAGTCGGCATTTGCTCTTTTCTTTGGACATCACTTCCAGTTCCTCGATCTTTTGGGTCAAGTTGTTCATCTGACCTAGTAAAATGATTAAATGCTGGTCTTTCTCAGTATCCTTGTTGGTTTTAGCCACAAGGTCAAGGAATTTGGCTGCGGTCTCATAGGAATATTTATCACGACCGCCTGGCATAAGTCAGTCGATTAACTCTCTATTTCCGGGACTTAGACCCCTATAGAATCATTCCAGTAGAACTAAATCAGGGATTTCATGACTTGGACATTGTATCAGTAGTGTTTTAAACCTCAGCCACGACTCATGAAAAGGTTCTCCTCATAGATGATTGAAGTTCAGGATGTGCTCTCTGAATCTCATCATTTCTACTGGGAGATGCTCCATTGGTCCACCATCCCCATCATGTATACTCATTATCCTGTCTCAACACACAGACAAACCAGATAAAACTAAAAATTAGGTAAGTAGACTACGACTAAGAAGAACAAAAATTCTACTAATGTAAGAATTCTCAAATAACACCACTCCCCGACAGCGGCGCCATTTTGATGCTTATCGTAACGAACGACACTAACCTATGGTATGAGTGTCTATGATCGTCGATAGTATAGTAACCCAACTAAAGGTTGGGGTCATGT